TTAGAAGTTCCTCCCTTACACCAGAGGTTCCCCTATCATTTCAGAGATCCCCCATCACATCAGAGGTCCCCCCATCACATCAGAGGTCCTCCCATCACATCAGAGGTCCTCCCATCACACCAGAGGTCTCCTCGTCACATTAGAAGTTCCTCCCTTACACCAGAGGTTCCCCTATCATATCAAAGGGTCACCTATTACACCAGAGGTCCCCCCTCACATCTGAGGTCTCATCATCACATTAGAAAATTCTATTTTGTTCTGTTCTATTCTATCCCATTATTTTGTTTTCAATTCTGTTCTATTTTTTAATACATTTTATTCTATTCCTTTATTTTCTATTCTACTTGTACTATTCTATTTTGTTCTATTATATTCTCTTCTCTATGTAGATGTAGAGAATATAATATAATAGCTCAGCCTAGAACACACGGGCCCTGACCTTTGACCCCTGATTTACCTGTTTTATCTTTTTTTGGTTGTTTTCTTTTCCTCTGTCTAGGATAAAATGTATCTCCCCCCCCCCCTCAATTTAGAGGCGAAAGAAAGTTCAGGGGCGGGTCTTAATGAGCGATCACTCTGATAGCCAATCACAGTAATCATGTGACCAGGAGTGTGACTTCCCAACTCCCAATCATAGGTCTCTGTGCTGGGGGGGGGGGCGTGCTTCCAGCTTAAATGCGACCGCGCAGTAATGCGATGCCAGGGGATGCGACTTACCACTCCGATGGCGCATACCCGCGTGAAGCCGGGGGCGGGGAAGGATAAAATGCAGAGATGTAAGCAGTCAAAGCTTCACCAACCGAAAAGCCGATATTTTACCTCTCTTTACAAATGAGCCGCCCCCCCCCCCCCCCATGTACAGCTCGGCGTGCTGCGCCATGGCGTATGTGTGTTCTCCTCCATGGACTGACCATTTGGAAACTCAGGCACTGCCCGAGGGCCCGGGGTCAGTAGGGGGCCCCATGAGATGCCCCTGGTACCTTTTTCATAGGCTTTTTTGAGTTTGGGCAAGGACACAGGGGCCCCATGATCCCCTATTGCCCGGGGGCCCCATGAGTTGTCAGTCCGCCCCTGGTTATGGCTGTTAGGAATTAAAGAACCGGAGGCCCAGAAACCTCCCTGCCTCAGCGATCCCAGCTGGCGCGCCTGATTTACGGATTGTTTGACTTGTGTTCGATCTGCGGGACGAACTGCTTACATTCTACATGACGGATGTTCCCGGACGCCGCATTGCGAAACACACTGACCGGAGGACGTTCCCCAACATTGCAGCCATAGATGGGCACTGAGACGGGCCCCGCACCATCCGGACTGTACGTACGGCGACTCGTCCCCACCCCCACCCGCATGGAGCAAAGAATGACTGCAGCATGGGAACGCACACTTCCCCGCCTTTACATGTCATATTTCTGGGTAAGGCAGGCCATACACGTTACAATCTGAACATACAATCGTCATACAATCGCCTTCAGATTCACCAAAAACTGTGATATATGAGGACCTGGCCAGTCTACTCCATTCATTCCCGTCCAATGAGGCGGGCCGGTGCACTGCATAGCTGTGGGAAGATCCAGGGCCGGGACGAGGGCATCTAGAGCCCAGGGCGAATATTCCAAACGGCCCCCCCAAGATGTAGGAGTTTTATGTGTCAGCAAAATTGAGTGCTAATCTGCATGCTTATCACTCCTATCAAATCAAATTTCCCCTACAAGTACTCATTCCCCCCCACACTCCAAATCCTCCCTCCCAGCAACCCCCTCCCATTCCCCTTCTACAACAAATCCCCACTCCCACATTTCCCCTCCTAGCACATATACCCCCAGTCATACCTGCTAGCACAATCCTTCCCCCCCCCCCCCAAAGAAAAAAAATCACTCTTATCAAATTAAATTGCCCCTACAAGTACTCATCCCCCCCCCCCCCCACACTCCAAATCCTCCCTCCCAGCAACCCCCCATCCCCCCTCATAGGACAAATCCCCACTCCCATATTTCCCCTCCTGGCACATATACCCCCCAATCATCCCTGATAGCACAATCTCCCCCCCCCCCAAAAAAAAATAAAAAAATCACTCTTATCAAATAAAATTTCCCTACAAGTACTCATCCCCCCCCCACACTCCAAATCATCCTTCCCCAGCAACCCCCCCCCCCATTCCCCCTTCTAGAGCAAATCCCCGCTCCCACATTTCCCCTCCCAGCACATATACCCCCAGTCACGCCTGCTAGCACAATCCTTCCCCCCCCCCAAAGAACAAAAAACAATTCCCCTCCAAGAAAAATACCCTCCCCCCTTCTACTATATCACCTCTTCTAGTGCAAAACATTCCCAAATCCCTCTTCCTAGCACAAATCCTTTTCCCTCTTCCCCCTCCCAGCACAAATCCCCTCAAATCACCACTCCTAGACCCCCTGCCCCCCCCCCCCCCCACATTTCACCTCCTACACTCTGTATGCCCTCTCTACAGTCGACCTAGCACAAATACCCCCCCCCCCAACACAAATCCTCACAAATCCTAGCACCCCCTACCCCTGTAAATTTCACCTCCTACACCCTTTCGCCCCCCAAATTCTCTTCCCTCTCCACAGTCCACCTAGCATAAACCCCCCCCCCCCAAACCCCCCGTCCCCCCTCCTAGAACAAATCCCCACTCCCACATTTCCCCTCCTAGCACATCCCCCCAGTCATCCCTGATAGCACAATCCCCCCCCCCCCCCCCCAAAAAAAAAATCACCCTTATCAAATCACATTTCACCTACAAGTACTCATTCCCCCCCCCCCCCCCTCCCTCCTACATGCCAAGTTCTCCCTCCCAGCAAAACACCCTCCCCCCATCTCCCCTCCTAGAACAAATACCCACTCCCAAATTTCCCCTCCTAGCGCATATACCCCCCAATCATCCCTACAATACCACACAATCCCCCCCCCCAAAAAAAAATGCCCCTCCTAACAAAAATATCCCCCCTTCTACCATATCACTTCTAGTGCAAACATCCCCAAATCCCTCTTCCTAGAACAAATCCTCTCAAATCACCACTCCTAGCACCCCCCCCCCCTCACAGTTTTCACCTCCTACACCCTGTCTTCCCTCTCCACTGTCCACCTAGCACAAATACCCCCCCCCCGGGGTGGACTGACCATTTGGAAACTAGGGCACTGCCCGAGGGTCCGTGGTCAGTAGGGGGCCCCATGAGATGCCCCTGGTACCTTTCTCATAGGCTCTTTTGAGTTTGGGCAAGGACACAGGGGCCCCATGATCCCTTATTGCCCGGGGGCCCCATGACTTGTCAGTCCGCCCCTGACCCCCCCCCCCCAAAACAAATCACTCTTATCATATCAAATTTCCCCTACAAGTACTCATCCCCCCCACACTCCAAATCCTCCCTCCCAGCAAACCCCACCCCCTCCTAGAACAAGTCCCCACTCCCACATTTCCCCTCCTAGCACATATACCCCCCAATCATCCCTACTAGTACAACCCCCCCCCAAAAAAAAATTAAAATTCCCCTTCTAACAAAAATACCCTCCCCTTCTACCATATCACCTCTTCTGGCGCAAACATCCCCGAATCCCTCTTCCTAGCACAAATCCTTTTCCCCCCTCCCAACACAAATCCTCTCAAATGACAACTTCTAGCACCCCCAAAAAAACATTTCACCTCCTACTCCCTGTTGCCCCCCCAATTTCTCCCTCCAACACAAACCCCTCCCCCCAATCTCCTCATGATGCTTCCCCACCTCACATGATACCACAGTGCCCAGGGCAGCCGCCCCTACAGCCCACCCCTTGTCCTGACCGCTTTTGGTGCAAAAACAACACTGCGCATCACCAAAAGAACACCATACCCACTGTGAAGCATGGTGGTGGCAGCATCATGCTTTGGGGCTGTTTTCCTTCAGCTGGAACTGGGGCCTTAGTCCAGGGAGAGGGAATTATGAACAGGTCCATATACCGGTCAATATCGGCACAAAACCTTCCGGCTTCTGCTAGAAAGATGACCATGAAGAGGAACTTCACCTTCCAGCATGACAACCACCCAAAGCATCCATCCAAATACACAAAGGAACGGCTTCACCTGAAGAAGATGGAAGATTTGGATTGGCCCAGCCAGAGCCCAGACCTGAATCCCATGGAAGATCTGTGGGGTGATCTGAAGAGGGCTGTGCGCAGGAGATGACACGCAATCCGACAGATTTGGGATGTTTTTGCAAGGAAGAGCGGGCAAATATTGCCGAATCAGGATGTGCCGTGCTGATAGACTCCTCCCCAAAAAGACTGAGCGCTGGAATCACATCAAAAGGGACTTCAACAAAGGATTAGTGTAAGGGCGTGCTCACTTATGCAACCAGATTATTTTAGTTTTTTAGTTTTTTCCTTCCCTCCACGTAAAAGATTTCAGTTTGTTGTTTAGTTTATAGGTCACATTAAAGGTGGAAAAACTTCTGAAATGATTTATCTTTGTCTCATTTTTTTTACATCACAGAAACCTGACATTTTAACAGGGGTGTGAAGACTTTTTATACCCACTGTGTATATATATGTATATATATTGAAATATATTGAATATGGCCAAAATTGTAGTATTTCAAATATATTTTTCTTCCATGTGGGAAGGGACATTCTTCCCACTGACCCCCCAATGTAAGGGACATTCTTCCCACTGACCCCCCAATGTAAGGGACATTCTTCCCACTGACCCCCCAATGTAAGGGACATTCTTCCCACTGACCCCCAATGTAAGGGACATTCTTCCCACTGACCTCCAATGTAAGGGACATTCTTCCCACTGACCCCCAATGTAAGGGACATTCTTCCCACTGACCCCCCAATGTAAGGGACATTCTTCCCACTGACCCCCCAATGTAAGGGACATTCTTCCCACTGACCCCCAATGTAAGGGACATTCTTCTCACTGACCCCCCAATGTAAGGAACATTCTTCCCACTGACCCCCAATGTAAGGGACATTCTTCCCACTGACCTCCAATGTAAGGGACATTCTTCCCACTGACCCCCAATGTAAGGGACGTTCTTCCCACTGATCACCAATGTAAGGGACATTCTTCCCACTGACCACCAATGTAAGGGACATTCTTCCCACTGACCCCCCAATGTAAGGGACATTCTTCCCACTGACCCCCCAATGTAAGGGACATTCTTCCCACTGACCCCCAATGTAAGGACATTCTTCCCACTGACCCCCAATGTAAGGGACATTCTTCCCACTGACCCCCAATGTAAGGGACATTCTTCCCACTGATCACCAATGTAAGGGACATTCTTCCCACTGACCCCCAATGTAAGGGACATTCTTCCCACTGACCCCCAATGTAAGGGACATTCTTCCCACTGACCCCCAATGTAAGGGACATTCTTCCCACTGATCACCAATGTAAGGGACATTCTTCCCACTGACCCCCAATGTAAGGGACATTCTTCCCACTGACCTCCAATGTAAGGGACATTCTTCCCACTGACCCCCAATGTAAGGGACATTCTTCCCACTGACCCTCCAATGTAAGGGACGTTCTTCCCACTGATCACCAATGTAAGGGACATTCTTCCCACTGACCCCCAATGTAAGGGACATTCTTCCCACTGACCCCCCAATGTAAGGGACATTCTTCCCACTGACCCCCCAATGTAAGGGACATTCTTCCCACTGACCCCCAATGTAAGGAACATTCTTCCCACTGACCCCCAATGTAAGGGACATTCTTCCCACTGACCCCCAATGTAAGGGACATTCTTCCCACTGACCCCCAATGTAAGGGACATTCTTCCCACTGACCACCAATGTAAGGGACATTCTTCCCACTGACCCCCAATGTAAGGGACATTCTTCCCACTGACCTCCAATGTAAGGGACATTCTTCCCACTGACCCCCAATGTAAGGGACATTCTTCCCACTGACCCCCAATGTAAGGGACATTCTTCCCACTGACCTCCAATGTAAGGGACATTCTTCCCACTGACCACCAATGTAAGGGACATTCTTCCCACTGATCCCCAATGTAAGGGACATTCTTCCCACTGACCCCCAATGTAAGGGACATTCTTCCCACTGATCACCAATGTAAGGGACATTCTTCCCACTGACCCCCCATGTAAGGGACATTCTTCCCACTGACCTCCAATGTAAGGGACATTCTTCCCACTGACCCCCAATGTAAGGGACATTCTTCCCACTGACCTCCAATGTAAGGGACATTCTTCCCACTGACCCCCAATGTAAGGGACATTCTTCCCACTGACCCCCAATGTAAGGGACGTTCTTCCCACTGACCCCCCATGTAAGGGACATTCTTCCCACTGACCCCCAATGTAAGGGACATTCTTCCCACCGACCACCAATGTAAGGGACATTCTTCCCACTGATCCCCAATGTAAGGGACATTCTTCCCACTGACCCCCAATGTAAGGGACATTCTTCCCACTGACCCCCAATGTAAGGGACATTCTTCCCACTGACCCCCAATGTAAGGGACATTCTTCCCACCGACTCCCAATGTAAGGGACATTCTTCCCACCGACCCCCAATGTAAGGGACATTCTTCCCACTGACCACCAATGTAAGGGACATTCTTCCCACTGATCCCCAATGTAAGGGACATTCTTCCCACTGACCCCCAATGTAAGGGACATTCTTCCCACTGACCCCCAATGTAAGGGACATTCTTCCCACTGACCTCCAATGTAAGGGACATTCTTCCCACTGATCACCAATGTAAGGGACATTCTTCCCACTGACCCCCAATGTAATGGGCATTCTTCCCACTGACCCCCAATGTAAGGGACATTCTTCCCACTGACCCCCAATGTAAGGGACATTCTTCCCACTGACCCCCAATGTAAGGGACATTCTTCCCACTGACCACCAACGTAAGGAACATTCTTCCCACTGACCACCAATGTAAGGGACATTCTTCCCACTGACATCCAATGTAAGGGACATTCTTCCCACTGACCACCAATGTAAGGGACATTCTTCCCACTGACCCCCAATGTAAGGGACATTCTTCCCACCAACCATTACACTAATGTACCATGTGCTGTAGATGTAATAATTATTACCAGGGGTTCTGCAAACCCAGAAAGTTATTTCAAGGGTTCCTTCATAATGAAAAGGCTGAGAAAGACTGCTCTGTAGTGTTCTTGGTTCTGCTCCTGGTTCCGTATCACCAGAGGAGGCTGGGAAGTCCTACTGACCAAGCTGAGCTTCAGCAAAAGTCCATCAAACTCAACAGCAGTCTCAGGCCAAGAGGACCCCAGTTATAGAGCACAGTCCTCCATGCTTGGATGTCCAGAATGTGTACACAAGGCTTAGTCTTCTTGACCTACCCTTGCAAGCCTCATTGGCAGGACTCGGCCAACCTCAGGACAGTTGAAGATACTCCTTTTGTTTCACGATGATGCATTCAGTTACCATAAAAAACGGCAACACTTTTGATGCAAACTTCTGTTAAAAGTCAAGATTTAATACATCTGTATGAAAATATGAGGACAGGTACTCAGTTCATTGTGGAAGCATAAGGTCCAAGATGCAGCTAGAGGATCAGTAACTGAGTTGTGGGTGAGCTAACTCTACAGTTAACTCTGTGTAGGTATGTAGGGTCACCTAACGTCACAGCCAGTCCACTCAAGGCCCCCCTTTTACATCGGAGAATGGCTCGTGTGCAGATTGGGCTGCAAGAATTCCCATAGAGCTCTACATCTAACTCTACATAAGTATGTAGGATAACCTAACGTCACAACCAGTCCTCTCAGGTATAATTTGGGGCACCAAACCAAGCACAGTTCTCGAATTACTCTTCGTAACAGAGCCAGCAGGTTCCCATCAAGGCCACCATTTCACATACATGGCATCATTTCTTATTCTTGAAGACCCCAGCAAGAGTCCAACCCAGCCACCAACCAGTGATAGATTCCCACGTGCCTGGGAAGATGCCCCAACACCAGGAAGACATGTACCAAGACCCTGGCCATCAAGGCCACCCCTTTACATTGGTGAATGGCTCGTGGGAAGATCGGGCTGCAAGAATTCCCATATAACTCTACATCTAACGTTGCATAAGTATGTAGTGTCACCTAATGTCACAGCCAGTCCTCTCAGGTATGATTTGGGGCACCAACCCAAGGACAGTTCTCTAATTACTCTTCGTAACAGAGCCAGCAGGTTCCCATCAAGGCCACCATTTCACATACATGGCATCATTTCTTATTCTTGAAGACCCAAGCAAGAGACCAACCCAGCCACCAACCAGTGATAGATTCCCACGTGCCTGGGAAGATGCCCCAACACCAGGAAGACATGTACCAAGACCCTGGCCATCAAGGCCACCCCTTTACATTGGTGAATTGCTCGTGGGAAGATTGGGCTGCAAGAATTCCCATATAACTCTACAACTAACACTGCATAAGTATGTAGGGTCACCTGAGGACACAGCCAGTCCTCTCAGGTATAATTTTGTGCTCCAAGCCAAGGACAGTTCTCGAATTACTCTTCGTAACAGAGCCAGCAGGTTCCCTTCAAGGCCACCATTCCACATACCTGGTGTTATTTCTTATTCCACTCCAAGACCCCAGCAAGAGTCCAACCCAGCCACCAACCAGTCATAGATTCCCACGTGCCTGCGAAGATGCCCCAACACCAGGAAGATATGTACCAAGACCCTGGCCATCAAGGCCACCCCTTTACATCAAAGAATGGCTCGTGGGAAGATTGGGCTGCAAGAATTCTTAGAGCTCTACAGCTAACTCTGCATAAGTATGTAGGGTCACCTAAGGTCACAGCCAGTCCTCTCAGGTATAATTTGGTGCTCCAAACCGAGGACAGTTCTCTAATTACTCTTCACAACAGAGCCAGCAGTTCCAGCAGGTTCCCTTCAAGGCCACCATTCCACATACCTGGTGTTATTTCTTATTCCACTCCAAGACCCCAGCAAGAGTCCAACTCAGCCACCAACCAGTGATATATTGCCTGGGATGATGCCCCAACACCAAGAAGACATGTACCAAGACCCTGGCCATCAAGGCCACCCCTTTACATCGGAGAATGGTTTGTGGGAAGATTGGCCTGCAGGAATTCCCATAGCTATAAGGAGGCATTGGAGTCCTCCTTTCTGATCTCTATAACTAAAACAAAGGAATTCCCATAAAACATCACAGCTAGTCCTCTCAGGTATAATTTGGTGCTCCAAACCAAGGACATTTCTCTAATTACTCTTCGTAACAGAGCCAGCAGGTCCAGCAGATTCCCATCAGGGCCCCCCACTCCATACACCTAGTATCATTTCTTCCTTATTCCCCTCCAAGACCCCAGCAAGTGTCCAACCTAGCCACCAACCAGTGATATATTGCCTGGAAAGATGCCCCAACACCAGGAAGACATGTACCAAGACCCTGGCCATCAAGACCACCCCTTTACATCGGAGAATGGTTCGTGGGAAGATTGGACTGCAGGAATTCCCATAGAACTCTACATCTAACTCTGCATACGTATGTAGGGTCATCTAACATCACAGCTAGTCCTCTCAGGTATAATCTGGTACTCCAAACCAAGGACAGTTCTCTAATTACTCTTCGTAACAGAGCCAGCAGATTCCCATCAAGGCCACCATTCCACATACCTAGTGTTATATCTTCCTTATTCCCCTCCAAGACCCCAGCAAGTGTCCAACCTAGCCACCAACCAGTGATATATTGCCTGGAAAGATGCCCCAACACCAGGAAGACATGTACCAAGACCCTGGCCATCAAGGCCATCCCTCTACCTCAGAGAATGGCTCATGGGAAGATTGGGCTGTGAGAATTCCCATAGAACTCTACATCTAACTCTGCGTAAGTATGTAGGGTCATCTAACATCACAGCCAGTCCTCTCAGGTATAATCTGGTGCTCCAAACCAAGGACAGTTCTCTAATTACTCTTCGTAACAGAGCCAGCAGGTCCAGCAGGTTCCCTTCAAGGCCACCATTCCACATACCTAGTGTCATTTCTTCCTTATTCCCCTCCAAGACCCCAGCAAGAGTCCAACCTAGCCACCAACCAGTGATATATTGCCTGGGATGATGCCCCAACACCAGGAAGACGTGTACCAAGACCCTGGCCATCAAGGCCACCCCATTACATCGGAGAATGGTTCGTGGGAAGATTGGCCTGCAGGAATTCCCATAGAACTCTACATTGGGGGGGAATAGGTAAAATTTACTTTGTTTGAAGATTTGTATATATAACTGGAATAATGTTTGTATACTGAAATGCTAACTCTGTATATGTACTGTATGTAGGGGCACCTAATGTCACAGCCAGTCCTCTCAGGTATAATTTGGTGCTCAAACCCAAGGACAGTTCTCTAATTACTCTTCGTAACAGAGCCAGCAGGTCCAGCAGGTTCCCTTCAAGGCCACCATTCCACATACCTAGTGTCATTTCTTTCTTATTCCCCTCCAAGACCCCAGCAAGAGTCCAACCCAGCCACCAACCAGTGATATATTGCCTGGGATGATGCCCCAACACCAGGAAGACATGTACCAAGACCCTGGCCATCAAGGCCACCCCTTTACATTGGTGAATGGCTTGTGGGAAGATTGGGCTGCAAGAATTCCCATAGAACTCTACATCTAACGCTGCATAAATATGTAGTGTCACCTAATGTCACAGCCAGTCCTCTCAGGTATAGTTTGGTGCTCAAACCCAAGGACAGTTCTCTAATTACTCTTCGTAACAGAGCCAGCAGGTCCAGCAGGTTCCCTTCAAGGCCACCATTCCACATACCTAGTGTCATTTCTTCCTTATTCCCCTCCAAGACCCCAGCAAGAGTCCAACCCAGCCACCAACCAGTGATATATTGCCTGGGATGATGCCCCAACACCAGGAAGACGTGTACCAAGACCCTGGCCATCAAGGCCACCCCTTTACATCGGAGAATGGTTCGTGGGAAGATTGGCCTGCAGGAATTCCCATAGAACTC